GGGTTAGGTTAGGTCCAAGCGTCGTCTCCTGAGCGCGGTTCTCCCTAGATGAATTGTTGTTGCTTCGTTGCTAGTTCCTGCACAAAGGCCGAGGTCGCGAGGGGGATTTCCGAACTTGACCCCTCTAAAGTTTAAGTCAGTGTTGTGGAGTTAAGGGGAGTTGAGTGTCCTCTTTTCCTGATCAAGGAGGGTTAGCTTTTATACCTGCAAGGATGAGCTCAAGCGGTGCCACCGCCTGCCTGGGGCGGTTGCACTGCCCAGCTTTCCTGGGAGACCCTCTCTTGGGCGATGCCACCGCCTAGCAGGAATTCTGGTCCGAATTGGTTGATTCATTCGGCCCAATTTGGGTCTATCAAGGGCCCAATTGCCCCCAGATTAAGTTAATGATTTCACCTCCCATTCCTAACTTAATCTACGTGCTAACTACAACATTTCTTAAGACATTTACTACAACTTGCTCTGGTGCGTCAATCGCTTCTTCCGGCGAACATCCGACGAACCTTCGGCGATGCTCCGGCGGACTTCCGGCAAACTCCTGGACTTGCGACGATCCACTTGGCGAGTTCCGACAAGCTTCTTTTGGCAAGCTCCTGGACTTCTCGGATTTGTTCCCATAGAACCTCCGACGACCGTCCGGACTTCCGTCGAACTCTCGAACTCCCAACGTGATCATAGTCTTGACTCCGGAACAACTCCTGCTGCATATCTTACTTCCATCGTAGTTAATCCTGCACATGTAAAATAAAACTTCGATCGAGACAATTAATCCTAAGCAATTAACCAAGTTGTCCGGCATGTCATTGGTCCCTCGACGCTTCGTCCGATTCTTCGGCACATCGTCCTCTCCTGCGGCCTATTGCCCAATTGTCTAGTTGACTCCGCAACTCCGATATCCTTGGCACAATGCCCACTCTTCTTAGCTCGATGCCCGAGTCCACGGCCCGAAGCCTTCTGTCGATACGTCGACCGATCCACCGGCCCAACGTCCAATCTTCTGACATGTTCCTCCGGCACAACATGATTTTTCCCGCTTTAATTGTCTCATCCCGATCGAAGCATCCTGTGTCACTCAAAACGCATATTAAAACATAAACATATATCAAGTGGTTTCATCATCAAAATACGAGATTCAACAGCCCCAAACTTTCCAGGACAATTGTATCGTGATGATGCCATTCGTACGACGGGGGCGACGAGCAGCTGCCTGCCACGTGTGTGCTACGTGCCACGACGGATTTGAAGTTTCACATCCGCATTATCGTGTTTGCTTGCTTGGGTCCACGTGGGCGATACCAAAATGTGCCCTATCAGGTAGGTTCGAACTCGTCAAGTTGGTTTGGAATCACCCTAAACTGACCTGAACTAATCAAACTTGTCTGATTCAATTGATTAACGAGCTCAAACTAATAAATAGAGGGAATTAACTATGTCGGATAATACTAGCTCAGATTGAACTGACCAACTTGAGTCTTGGATAAGTCACATGCTTCACACATGCCTATCTAGGTAACAAGTTGATTTGAGGTACAATAGATTAGATAGAGGAGCAATAATATGGCTAATGCTAGTCAGACAGTTGGGCGGGCCTAGCTACGTACCATAAGTTAAGCCTCACTCACAAGTTAGGCTAGCGTGGAAGAAAAATGTCTTAATCACCCTCCACTTGTCTGCTCCCATGGACAACAATTCAAGGGAGGTTGTTCAGGCCTATCTCCCCCTATCACTCACGTAGACAAAATATCAAAGGAAGACATTGGGATAATTATAAGCAGTCCCCTCCATGGATTAGGTATAAAACTTAACCCCCGATGCTATGCCGAGGGGTTCTCGTTTCAAAAAATCCCCCAAAAGGACCTCAAACTAATTTGAGCGTCGAAGGGACTAGGGCGAGAAACTTCTCTCGACTTGGTCTTAGTGTAGGAATCACCTCGGAGCCATTTTGAAGCCACTTTAAACACTCATGCATTTCGAGCTAGACCACGTTGAGTTGACTCCAACATCAACGATGATTTTCCTTAACATTTTGGCGCTAGAAGGAGGGCATGATGTGAGAAGGCCCTACCTCCAACTCATAGCAACTTTACTCAGGAGGGTAGCTATCATCCTTCCCACATGTAGATGCGTTTACTTTGCTACAAACACTAGCATGATATTGACAACTATTCAATAATCTAGGCCTCTCACCCCTAGGGATGACCTCGAACCACCTATTTGTCCCTATCGAGGTGTTCCTAAATCTTACCCAACATGTATAGATGCTTATGGGCATGATGTAGGCTATCACTGTGCTCTTACCTCAACTAGCCCAATAAGTGATGCCACCATCTCAACCATGATTGAACCTAAACGGTTGGGATCCCCTTGATCAACACGATGCCAACATCTTAGGATCACCCAAGGCCCATGAAACTACTAGTCGAAGGAGTGCCCCACTCTCTAATTATGGAGTTCAATGCACTATGACACCATCTCTCTGCTATGGTCGAATCCGAGACCCAGTCGATGGATTCAATGGATGACTCCCTTATGGCCCAACTATAGCAAACAGACCAATGCTTGGATAAGATGCATCATGAGTTCTAGCAGTCTATAGGGGATAGTCCGATCGATTCTATCTCATGTTGGCCTCCATTCACTTAGAATATCCAAGAAAAATCGATCTCGACAAACTTCGGCCTCCCATCGCTGGATGTCTTTGATGGTAGTACCGACTCAGTAGAACACACTATCGCCTTCCACGCCAGATGTCTTTGTATGACACCTTGGACGTTTTGATGTGTCATGTGTTCCTAACAACTATAAGAGGCACGATGCAAGAATGGTATACACTTGCTTGAAACCACTCTCGATCGACTCCTTTGTTAAGCTCACAAAAGAGTTTGAGCTTTACTTCCTTGAGAATATTGATAGTAATGCTGCTTGGACACTAGCAAGGGGAGGAAGAGACACTTTCCAACTTTATTGCTTGATTTACTAATGAAATTTGAGACATGCAAGAAGTTCATTCGTAACTTATGATTTAAGCTTTTATCATAGGGCTCAGGCTCTCTTGCCTTTTCTGGTCATTGGTGGAGAGGCCACCGATGACGATACCCGAGGCCCTCTAGAAGGCTAACCAATACATAGCGACGGAGGCAATGGTCTCAAGTAAGCAAGAGGAGACACACAAGAGGCTGCGATAGGAGCGACTACTATTAACTCCGACCCTGAGGTCACCACAAGGAAGAAAATATGACCAACCTAAGTTACCTCGTTCGAGGTCCAAGTTGACTCCCATAAACATGACGAGAATCAAGGTCTTCTTACAGATAAAAGAAAAATGATTCTTGAAGGACCCTCGATCCATGAAGATACCGTTGAAGAGGAGGGACAAATCCAAGTACTATCGCTTCTATTATAATTATGGCCACGACACAGAAGACTATAATGATTTGAAGAAATATATTAAAGAGATTATTCATCAAGGACACATTAGGAGGTTCATTCGAAGGCTCCGAGAGCCTTCGCCTTGACCGTAGGGGCTAGTGGAATGGCAGATCGATGTTATCATCGATGGACCTATCTCAAGAGGAGACAACTCCTCGGGTCATAAAGCCTACACCCGAGAAACCAACGAGAAGCACCTGAGGTCAATAGATGACTCCAAAATAACCTTCAAAGAAGAAGAGACATAGTACCTCGACCTAAACTTTGATGATGCCTTGGTGATCTCTGTGAGGATGATTAGCGCCCGAGTAAAGAGGGTTATAATCGACATAGGTAGTTTTGCCAACATCCTCTACTTTGACGCTTTTCAAAAACTTGAGTTTTGCTAATGATCTCACCCTTATGACTTTCTTATTGATGAGCTTGCATGTCATGTTCGACGACAAGCTTTGCTCTAAAACGATGATGACCAAATTTATAATGGTTGACATCCCCTCAATGTACAATATGATCATAAATGGACTCATGCCTACATGTGTGTCCTTCACGCTATAGAGGAACAGGATGGAGTTGAGACCTATCAGGTGAATTGAACACCATGCTCTGAACCCCTTTAGCAAGAGTCCCAAAGTATGTTTGGGAGAGGTGTCACGCCCCCTAAATTATCGCATTCAAGAGGCATGAACATATCTTAAATATGAATATTATAATTTATCAACAAACCAAGGATCCAAATTAACATTTGAGGACATTAAGAATCAATGCAGTTTATAATCATACATTACATCACTCAAACATTTATGAAAACCCAAGCTAACTTAACAATTTATTAACCACACTTATAAATTTATATAAGAATTTATATAATTAGAACTCCAACCATTTTTCATAAATTTATATCATCATAAAACTAACTTAATATTCTAAAATTTCAAACGTAAGGGGTCTTTTAAAACTTTTACACGATATATCAATTCAAATCTATCAATAACATTTCATTACCTACAAAATGCACTTATACAACAATAACATAACAACTCACAAAAGACTTGTCTAAAAGTTTTCTATTACCTTAGCTCAATTCTAACATTTTATCCACCTACAAAGACTTGCCCACAATACAAGGGATGTATGTTTAGAGCCCGCAATGCTCTGTCGGCCCCTAGTCGCCACGTGAAGGCTAACATGAAAGGAAAATATCCTAATCACCCTCCACCTGTCGACCCTCATGAATAATGATCCAAGGAAAACTCCATCATGAATAATGATCCAAGGAAAACTATTCGAGCTTGTCTTCCCCAATCACCCGTGTGAACAAAATATTAAAAAGTGGCATTGGGATAATAATAAATTGTCTCCTCCGTGAACTAGGTACAAAAACTAATCATCCATGTTATGTCAAGAGGTTCTTTTCTTAAGAGAAACCAATACTCAAAAAAGATCAAAGATCAACTCAACAAATTTAGCTTGATATCGATCTCAGGTTTTAGGTTTTCATGTTGGATCATATAAAGAAATAGTAGCATTCCTCCAATACCTTAAAAACAAAAACACTATCACCAACCGCATCGGTATTCACGTGTCAAATTTCTGAATGATACCTTTTAATCAAATGTATTAAGTATATATGAACAATGTAGCCGACATTGAGATGAATTTGGATTCCTCGACGATTTGATTGGAAGTAACCGCTGCCAACGTCATCCCTACGTGGCATTATTAGTCGTTGTATTATAAGATCGACGAGAACAGCTTGGCGGAGCCCAATCTAAGCACACACCGAACACAAAGACAAAATAACCGATAGAAATCCGACATTAATGTCTATTTTTTATTACCTTCGAAATTAACTCGTCAGCTCACTCTCCGCGGTCTCATCCCCGCTACTGCCGTCCTCGACTTTGGCCGCTGCTCCCGGTCGGCCCATTTCCAGCGCTCGAACCAACCTCCCGAGACACGAGGCGTCGTCCTCCTCCGCAGACTTGGGCATCAGGTTCTCTGCCACGTCCGCCGGCGTCATCTTGACCTCCTCCAGCAGCCGCCGGACGGCCTCGAATAGCGGGTGCGCGTCGACGCCCACGTAGTTCTTCGCCAGCACCTTGAACGCCTCGAATCCACAGTGCAACATCTCGATGTGCTTGTCCATCCTCCCCCGCCGTATCAGCGCCGGATCCAGCTTCTCCAGGTGGTTTGTGGTGAATATTATGAGCCTCTCGCCGCCACAGGCCGACCACAGGCCGTCGATGAAGTTGAGAAGCCCGGAGAGCGTCACCTTGCTCTCCTCCTTGTCCTCCTTCTCCGGCAGCAACGGCGGCTTGGCCTTGTCTCCGCTTTCGCCCTCTTTCTTCCTCTTGGGCTTCCGCTTACCCGTCAGGTCCAGCGAGCAGTCGACGTCCTCGAGGACGATGATGGACTTGCTGGTGGTCTCGATGAACAGCTTCCTCAACTGGGTGTTGTCCTTGACGGAGGTCAGCTCGAGGTCGTAGATGTCGTAGTCCAGGAAGTTGGCGATGGCGGCGATAGCGGAGGACTTGCCGGTGCCGGGGGGGCCGTGGAGGAGGTAACCCCGCTTCCACGCCTTGCCGATTCTGGCGTAGTAGTCCTTGCCGTTGCGGAAGGCGATGAGGTCGTCCATGATGTCCTCCTTCTTGCCGGGATCCATGGCGAGTGTGTCGAAGGTCGACGGGTGATCGAACACGACGTGGCTCCACATCGTCTTCCTGTACTCGTACGACCTACTGCCGGAAATGTTGGTGTAGAGCTTGCGCTGCCGGCGGCGGCGCCTGACCTCGCGCCCCTCTCGCAAGACGTGGGCGAGGTACGATCCGATGACGAGCTCCCGGTGCCGGCGGTGGAAGGTCAACCGGTAGTGCCGCCGCGCCTCGGCCTCCGGGAAAAAGGATACGGTCTGCGAGCGGGGAGTGCGCGCCACGGAGGTCCACCAGAGCTTGGCGCCCTCGAAGTCGTCGGTGACCTCCTCGTGCTCGTCCATGCTGAGGGTGAGGCTGTCGCAGCCGGCGCCGAGCTCGGCCTTGAGCTTGTTGGCGCGCTGCGAGCAGGAGCCACTGAGGTAGGCCTCGACGGAGGTGTAAGCCTCGCTGCGCTTCAGGCGGTCGCCGGAGAACTCGGAGATGGTGATCCGGACGTAGGGGTAGACGGAGGCAAAGAGGCGAGAAGGTGTGCTTGGTGAGGGAGTGCTCGAGGAGGTGGAGGGGGAGGTAGCGGCGGATGATGGCATAGACCACCATGAGGCTGGCCGCGAGCGAGCCCAAGCTCGCCAACCGATCGCTCATTCTCGCCATGGTGGGAGAACGCAGTGGCTACTCGGATCACCGGCAGCCCTTCATAAAGATCGGAGTGATTCGAAGACTCCTCGTCTTCCACTTGTGTCGGTTCGACGAAGAAAACGCAGGCATCGGGAGCGGATGAGATGCCGGCCTCGCACAGGATTCACATGAATTCTTCCCACACATTGGAAGCGGGACCACCACAATGCCAGGTGTATCCACGGCCCGGGCCGAAAGCCGGGGGCGAAAGGCCGAACGCTGTCTCCGTCAGCGCATGCATTTGTTGCAAGAGAGCAGAAAGCAAGGAAGACGCAGCCTCTGAACTCACCCTTCGCTGGCGGTCTCACGCGCGTCCATCTTGGATGACGTAGGCGCGAGTGACGTGCGATTATGATCAAACCGCCATGTTTGAACTGATCTCATCTAACATATCTGAATGCAAAAAATCCTCGTCAAATTAGCAACAGCTAAACCAATTCCAACAACTGCATGCAGTATACAATAAACCTAATCGCAATAAATTGGATAAGCAACTAATGAGGACCAAATAAATTGTCATGCCAACCATCAAGAGCCATTTCAAGTTGGCAAATGGAGAGTAGAGAACGGGGACTGACCTTGAATTCTGCCGAAGTACATGTAGAATTTAGATGGTCACGGTAAGGACCATCTTCTTGATTAAAATCGGTACATGGGTAAACATCCTCTCAGATCTAACTTGGCATCGCGCCTCTGAATGAAAAAATGAGGCGACAGTTACATCTAGAAATCTGTCAAATGATTACCACAAAAGCATATTATTGTACATGGAACATGTAGAACAAAAAAAAAACGAGGCAACAGTTAGATCCAGAAATCTGAAATGATTACCACAAAGGCATATTGTACATGAAACATGTAGAGCAAAAAACATACGAGGCAACAGTTAGATCTAGAAATCTGTCAAATGATTAGCACAAACGCATATTATGCATGGAACATGTAGAACAGAAGAAAAAAAAGAAAAAAAAAAAGGTGATTCTTTACTTCAAAATTGCTATCAAGTACTTGCTAAAGTGGATCAATGGAAGCAGACCAAGATTGCTAATAGATGTTGTCATTTGACAGCCCATCTTGGCGAGAACAACTGCTTTTGTTAAATAGTGACCTTCAGTTTGGCACTTGAGATAATATCCTAAGTAAATAATTGTGCAGGGTTATGAATGAACCAACCTGTTCTCTTCAACAGACCTGCCTAAAAATCTTCCTGGTCTTAGACCCTAATGCTCAGGCCATCATCAGAACTCGTTACTGGGGCGAGCTCATTCAGGTCTACGAATCTTATTCTTTGGGGCTTATCTGCTTCCTCCCCGATGCTGTCCGTCTTATGCACAGCTGGTTGCCGATCTTTATCTGCAGCCTCAGTGTGGTTGGTCAATATGGGACTCATTTTGTTATACGTTATTTCTTTACTGTCTTCTTCTTCCTGAGAAACTTAACTTGCTGTCGAGAGTTCTAAATTATCAGATGCACCAGAATTTGTCTGTTGCATCTGACTCATTAGACTTTGCGGAATCTGTATCTGTATCTGATAGCTCATACTGCAGGCAATCTATACATGGTCACGCAGCTCTGTTGCTGCATCTTACGGCTGTCTAGAGCTCATCAACTGATCTCAATTTTTTTGTTTCCTGCCTAGTTCGACCAGGAAACCTTTCGTAATAGCGTTGATCCTCCAAATCTCACTAGTGCTCGAGGAATGTTCCTCCTCTATCTCATCATCCTCTACATTTTCTTCCTTCCAACGGAACTCCTCATCCCCCTCTGGCCAACTTGACACCTTTTGCTGCTTTTGACTTCTCAGATATTCCTCATCATATACTGCTTCTCCTACAATGTCATCATCACTGTTGAAGCCTGCATCAATATCAGAAACAGTATCCACAAAATCCTTTTTCCGAATATTTCTGAGGCCTTCTCCTCCACCTATTGCTAAATTCCAACCAATACAACAGTAAGATACATCATATTAGAAACAAACTATACATCTCAAAACAAGCATGAAAGAGAAGACACCTGTGGTCAAGAGGTTCATCCTGATGTTTGATATTAATTTCTTCATAGTAATTTGATTTTGGGCACCTTGTATCATTGTTAACCAGATCCATTTGCCAACAGCCATTCAATTTACCATTGGTTGAGACATCAGGCCTCCCAATGACTGATCTCCTGACGACATTCACAGCTGAGCATTGTCTTTTCCTAAAACATATCACATAAGACTGAAGCATTAGAAATCGGTGGAGAAGCTTCATCAAGAAATAAACAAGATGCAGAACATAAATGAAAAAAAAAAGAGATTGTATAAATGTTTGGTTATTTTGATAGCTTCATTGATCGTGTGATCTTAGTCATCTGAAAATTTGTTTAACATGAAACTACTACTAATTTGAGTTTGGCCAGAAATCATTAAGAGAAAACCTAAAGAAACAACAATTCAAACAATCATTAATAACCAATCTCCACCTTTTAGGATTCGGACATTTTTTATATGTCAAAACATTCACAGGAATAGACTTTTTCAGGTTAAATATTTAGTTAAGCCCTGTTTAGATAATTTAGCTATGTACATCAAATCAATGAAATATACAAAGACGATAACAGAACTAATCAGGATTAGCAGAAATTTAGAAACCAAATAATAAGATTAAAAAAAAATCAAAATAAACTAATCAGAGATCAATAACACTAATATCCACCACCCACAAAATCCTGAGCAGAAGTACCTACCTCAAATTTAGACAGAAGTAAACATATGAAAGCTCCTAAAATCATTTTCAGCCCTCTGTCATTCCATTATAAAATCCTCGGTGCTTAGCTTAGTAAGAAAAATAACATTTTAAAAATACTGCAAGCTACCTTTCAAAGAAAAATAAAAAAACACAAGCAAAAAGAGCTTTTCCATGTGATCCACAGTATACCTAGAGAAGCAAGTTCAACTAATCTGTAAACACTCGTAGAACATGTCAACTACCAGATCTCTTTATAAACACATTCTTGAATTCAATGATATTCAGCACCATTAGAGAAGCACAAAATCATACTCTTCCAACATGTTTCATGGCTCTAGGAAGGAAAAACATGTAGGTGGAAACCATTCTATATACATATTCTTCATTATTTATTAGAACATCAAAGTAGAAAATTATTAAACTTAATATAGTAGAAATAGGATAAACCAAAGTATACATGACAGGCTTTCCATCACAAAGGAAGCGGCCTGAGGAAGCTCCATCTGGAGTCACAAAGCTGCCTGGGAGGAGAGCTTCTCTGTGTTGCTTTTTCAACAGCCTCTCTTTCTTATGTTTGAATGCCCAAAGTACAACAGAAATAGAAAAATTATTGGCTTTGAATTACCCAAGACTAATTTAAGGTTAACCATGCCATGTAAAATGAGACTAAAAGCATAAGTACTAAGGTGCAAAGAACCCCATACTTTGTGATTTTTCTTGATCTCCAGCAGAAATTCAAACTTTAATTTCTTCCCAAGAGAGGATTCCGTTCCACTTCTACTTTGAGAAAATTTTACCTGAAATAAAAAATATACTATGCTACCAATTAGAGAAAGAAAAGGAAGACAAAGTTTACTTTCCTAAGAATTAATCTTCATTAATAGAGTTATGTACTGAGTTTTCTATAGTTCATTTTTTTATTGTTAATGGTTATAGACTTTAGATTAAGCCACATCACTATTAGAATAGTGCAGTTTAAACTACCAAAACACAGATGACATCACTCAATTAAAACCAACCAAAATGGAGAAACTCACTGGAACTTCTTGGAATTCATCCATGTTGGTTGTAACAGTTTCCCTCTGGAAAGATATATGTGAAGCAAATGACAATCCCTTTGCCTTGATCTTCTTTACCTCAACCTGTCTAATTTCACAGTACAATGGATGGCCAACAGTTGGATCATCTTCGTACCTGCAAAACAAAGAAATGAAGGAATTACTAAGTGTTAACCATGACACTTGCAATATGACTACAAAAGGTAGTTTAAAATAAATATGCAAATGTTTTGGGCGGCTTCTAAAATAACCATGAAGTTTATCAGGATACCAATAAGAAATCCAATGTTAATGATCACCAATCCTTGCTTTGCAAGAGTTGAATGCCTCATTTTTAATGAATCATCAATAAGATTTTGAATGTCTTCTTGCTGCAAAATGAAAAAAAATGAAGTCAACTTCTAGTATCAAATCAACCAAGCAGAGTTAAGACTACATTTTCAGAGCTCAGTTAGTCATGTCATAATGTTGATTATCAAAAAGCTAGAGATTCAACATCACATATTCACAATTATATGATATATAAGTGTCAATTGCATCATAGGATACAGAAGTACCTGTAAAAAGTTCAAAATGATTGATAAGGAAACAATTCTTGAGACAGCAACCTATATGGTGCTAACAAGTCAAAATCAATTATTAGGATATAGTACTCGTTTATATGGTACACTGTGGATAACAACACTAATGAATGGAGAGTCATTTGATTCATCTAGCAATAACAAGTGCCATTTGAAAGGAAACAGTACCAGTTAACATATTATAGTGTGGACAAATCTGTAGTGCAACATGTATAATGTTCATCCATGTCAACTTATGAAAGCTCTATATAATTCTAGATCGGAAGTTTCTAATCCTTTAGTTTATGATATTTGAGAAAGCACGTTTACTTCAAATAAGCAGAGAAAAACTAAGGGGGAAATGCTTAGTTTTAAAAATTATGAAGCTCCTAAAAAATTTGTCAGCTAAAGGGTCATCCATTTCGTCTCAAAACAAGCACTCAAAGGTATAATTTAAAAACTAAAAACGGAAAACATATTCTAGATGTTTCCACTTTGTTCCCATTCATTATTTTTCTCTTACTTGCTTCTCCGTTCAACAATGCACCAGTTCTTAATCCATGTAGCTGAGGGTGGCAGTTGGTGATGGCAAATATGGTTGATGCTGAATCTGATGATGACTAGCAATCAGCAACAACAATCAACAACTGAAGATGGGAATAGTGGTGGTTGACAACCGACAACCAATTACGGGTAGCAGCAGCTGCTGGCAACCGGTGGAAAATGGTGAACAGCAAACGCGTAATGAAAGGATTGTAACAGGAGTTTAACCAGCCAGAATTGATGGACAATGATGTCTTCCTATGGCAGCGGAGATCGACAACCAGGGACTAATGGCAAGTCATGGAGGGCAGTGGTTGGAGGTGATGGAGGTGGCATTCGGTGACCATTAGCAAACATGGTGGCTACCATCAATCAGTGATCAAAGATAGTGGTGACTTTTATTTGGCAAGGTACCACATAATATGTTTGGCAATTTTTTTTCTTCTCCATTATTTCTGAAATGTTGGAAAAAAAGCTTTCTACTTCCATTGCAAAGCGAAAAATTATGGTGTACCATCAGACACATTAACAAAAAGGTCCTGGGTCCTCCTCTTGCATATACAAGTTATGACAGCTATACAAGCCGAATACCAAAAAACATGAACAAGAAAAAAAAAGATATATGTCTTATATACAAAGCAAAAAAAAAGAATGATACCAAAGAAGCATAAATGTTGACAAACATCATTGTAAGACAACTCAGGAAGTGGAACTAAGACAGTAAGTGCAAGGAAAGTGCTTTAGCTATACATTTTTCAGCTTTATGTACAAGATAAAAGCCAACATCCATCAACAAAGGGAAAACATAAATAATAATTAAACATTGTCACTTGCAATAAACGCATTAAACTTTCAAATTAGTATTATTATTCATCACAATAAGCACCTCAACACGGATGCTACATAGTGCTTTAGAAATTAGCATATGTGGGTTAGGACCAAGAGTCATATGTCTCGATCTTCGTTCTGCAAAACTTTACAGTCAGAGTTCATCAGTATTATCAGATGGATATGTTTTTAAGTGTCTTAGACTCCATAGATACAAAGAACTCACCCATGGGATGCAATAATTGGTATGTCCCCATCAGTGACCTGCGGTAAATAACCATTAGATTAGCCATTCCATGATATCATCTCTTTGCTGTAATATCTCAGCGGATATAATTGAACAAGCTACATACACAGTGCCACCAATCTTAAGTTGCTGCAGAGTGCTGTAACCCAGGTTGAATGCCCTATCGCAATGCGAGAAACTGGAGGGATTGCCTGTCAACATGCCAATAGGTTCTTATGAAACTTATTCAAATCCAGATTTTTAAGGCAACAGACAAGTAAATTCCGAGGAATACCAGCAGATATACCCTAAAAATGCTACCGGATGAGAGATCATTTCCAAAGCCAGGAACATAAAGGCAGTTGAGGACGGCGGCGCGCTCCCACATGGAGCGGAGCCCTCACCGTGGCAGCTACGAAGGAAGCGGGGACTGGACGATCGAGGTGATCACCATCCCAGCCTTCTTCCGCTCCTCCTCCTCTCTACGGCGGCGGAGCGCAGCGGGAGTTGCAGGCGCGTCGGAAGCAGGTCTTCCGGGGGGAGGGTCGGCGGGCAGGGGTTGGCAGTCGTCTTCCAGGAAGGAGGATCCGTCCGCGGCTGGCGCGGCAGGGAAATTATCGGACATGGGGGGAAGAAGTGTTCAGAGGGAACGAGATCGACCGGTAGGAGCCGCGGGGAAGCGCGAGCTGCGGGGGGAGATGGTTCGAGCGGGGAGGAAGAGAGGAGGCGACGGGATGGGGAAGAAGCGGTGGCCATAAGAGAGTGAGAGTCGGTAAGAGGGATCGAGGGAGAGGTCGGCGAAGGCTATTACGGTGAATTACGATGATTTAGGATCAATTTTACTTGGGAGATTACTATTTATAATCATGTTATTTACGACCCAATAATTTTTGAATATTTCTGAATTATCTTTTTATGTATGACCTTAATTTATAATTTAAGTATAATAAAATCATTTCACTTCTCATTTATATTTTTTTCCTCTTTTTTCGCCTCCTTCACCTCTTAATCATTATAAATGGCATAAAATAATTAAAAAATTATATAATAAAATGTAACAAATCAAACATTGAAAAGAAAGATGTGAGAAATAATTTTTAATATTTATTTTAATAATTTAATATTTTTTAGTTATGTATATTCTATAATAATTCAGAAAATATAATCTTCTAAGTCAATTATATCAACCTAGAAGATATCATGTTATTTGCCTTCGTAAACTATCCGGTATAGTGCATAAGCGGTGGGAAGAGTTTACTCGTAGGATAAGCAAGCGAGAATTATGAAAAGAAAAAGAGAAAAAAAAAGGACAAAAGCAAAATTAAATAAATTATTAATAATAATCTATTTTATTAATTTTTAAAATAAATTATAAATAGTAAGAGGATCGTAAATTGTAAGAATAGACATTGAATAGTAACCTCCTTATTTTAATTGAAGATTGGAGATTACTATTTACCACCATAAATTTACTATTTAAAATATTATTTAAAAAATTTAATATTTCTAAATATCTTTTGTAAATAGATAGAAATATCCTAATCTTTTTCTTTTTTTATGACGATATTGAGAGGGCAACGAAAAAGGTCCCGAAAGACGAGAAGCGAGGGAGCGTTGAGTGTCAACATATAGCATGGAGCGACAATCGACGATGACAAGGGAGTATTGGTATCGATAATCATAGGGTTATGGGGAAGAAAAAAAGATAAAATCGATAATATTAAAACTATAAATAGTAAAATAATACTTTTATTATTTTTAAGAGAAAAAGAGTTATAAGTAATAAACTATATAAATATTTCTATTACAGTTCAATTTTTTAAAAAAATCAATATTCCTAAGATGCTCCTATGCAAATGAACTTTACTTTTAATCAACCCACTCGGTGGAATGTGACTAACAGACATAACTTTCGGGTAGACCAATAGAGATCGATTATAGATTATCTTTGTGTTGGGTTGTCCAAATGATGTTAGACAATAGAGTAGCGTTAAAGTTTTTCTCGTTTCTCGTAGAGTCGAAATAGTTTTGGGTCAAACGACATAGTGGTGTTGAGCAACATGAGTCTTTCTCTTCGTCGAGTGGCATTGAAGTGACGAACAATGTCATAGCAAAGTCTTCTTCTTCACCGAGTGATGAACGATGTCACAAGACAATAGAATTGCATCAAGTGATGTCAACATAGCTAGGGTTTTATCAAATTAAATTAAATAAGGGATTATGGGAAATAAAAGTATCTTTGATAATTGAGGGACTATAAATAATAAAAATATATTTTATAATTTTTTAGGGGTTGTAAATACCAAAAAGGATTACCAATTATAAGCTTCTTATAATTTGGAAGGAGGTCGGAACATTATTGTTTTTCTTATAATTTAGTTTTCTCAAATTATTGGCTCTTTTCCCCTCTTTTTTTATAATTATTTGTTAAATAAATTCTGGTTTTTTATTCTTTCATCAAATCAACTTATCTTTTTTTTTTTATTATTTATTGATGTGTTTATTGGGTTTATAAGCAGTCTAATTTTTCTCTTATTATTCTGGTTTTTAATTTATAAGCAGTATTTATATTTTTTTATATATTTCCCAAAGAGCGCCTTCATTTTAGGGAGTGATTATTTTTTTATTTTAAATGCAATTTAATGATGAAATTTCTTAGGCTTTGTTGTTGGGTTTGAGTTGAGCTAAGTTGACTTTTGGAAGGGAGGTAGCACCAGTTTATTGTTTTCTAGTAATTGTCCTCTTTAGATCAACAACATTCTTCGGAGCATAAGACATTAGATTAGTAATCATGTAAACTAAAAAAAAACCTTGTAAATGATCAAATAATGGATGAATAAGCTATATCGCAATGATTGAAATTTAAAGAGCTCTCCTTGTTCAAGCACTTGGCAGTACTCCTTCATCTCTGGCAAACTGTAACCTAATAAATGAAGGTATCCGACAATGACATTACTGCTACAACTAGAAACCTGACAGATAACTTTTCCTGTTCTGTTTTAGTATACATCTAGATTTGTCTTGTTTGCTCATCTCGCCCAAGAAAGTGATTGGAGAGGCTGAGACCACATATTTGGTATGTTGTTTTGCTAAAGCAAGCTCCTCATGCATCAAATGTGTCTAAAGATTAGGCTATCCAGAACAAAAGACCACCTCATGAACATGAGGGAGGAGACCTGAAATTTATGGTCAGGAAGTTTGTGATGGTAAGAAACTTATAGTTTGGTTGGATTAATTGTTTGATGGAGGGTCCTCTTGTCATTAATTATGTACCTAACAGTGTTAATGCCAAAACTTATTGTCTGGGACTTGTGAGATTTCAGAAATGTGAGATAAGGTCAGTAAATATCAGATCAGTAGCTGAGAATATGAACTAATCTGATCACCAAATGATGCTGGCAAAGCAATCCATAAAGAATGTTTGGCATGCTATAGAAAAGAGAGCCACATCACTTGTGATAAATGGCACAACAACATGGTCTCAAACACTGCATTCATTTTCTAGCTCTGTGTTAGCCTTGATTGATCATTGAAACCCTTTTTCTCTTGCAGCAGCAGAGAGGGGCACTTTGATTTGATCCCTTCTCTTCATCCATTGTGTAGCTATATAGACATAGACATCAATGCACATTAGAACAGGATGCTGACATTAATTTTAATGATTATTATAGAGATATCAATGTACATTAAGCACTGAGATCATAGCCGGAACAGTCGGGATTACGAGAGAGAACATATGCAGCAGTAGTAGTAGTAGTAGCTGCTGCCTCCTTAGCGATCCATGGCTGTGGCGCCTTCAGCCTTCAGCCTTCAGCCTTGGACTTCTTCTCAGGAACAGTTCCATCGTTCCCGGCGAGCGCCCGGTACTTGTCCTTCCTCGTGAAACGGGTGCACTCGTAGGACAAAGTGGAGGCTATCGCCCGCTGTATGTAGTTGGCCACCTCGTGGCTGGACTTGCCGCCGCTGCAGGTGATCTCGAGCGGGAGCTTGTCGAGGAAGGTAACCTCGTAGGCTGGACTGGGGTTCATGAAGAAGTAGAAGGGGTCCATCCCCTTCCACCCCCTCGCCGTGGTGCCGTGGAACATGCTCATTCGGCTGCAAGTCGCCACCGGCACGATCTGGTCCGTGAGCTCCGCGAACAGCGCCGAGAAGCGCAGCAGGAAGGGCTCGCGGCAGGTCGTCCCCTCGGGGCAGATCGCCAGGTCGCCCTCCTGCAGGAGCTTCCGGATCATGGCGGCGTCGCGGGCGCGGTCGCGGCTGAGGCGCACGGTACGGATGGGGGAGAGTATCTCGGAGAGGCGGGAGACAGAGTAGGTGACGGCGGCGATCGGGCGGCCGAGGGCGACGGAGAGGAAGACGGGGTCCAGAAGGGTGCGGTGGGAGCAGACGAAGAGGACGCCGGAATGGCCGAGGGACGTGGAGGCCGGGGGAGGAGGGGTGCCGCGGACGGTGACGCGGACGCCGAGAGCGCGGAAGACGTGGTAGACGTAGCGCATGGGGAGGAGGGCCCCGGAGGCGATGCGGAGACAGGCCAGGAGGAAGCCCGCCGGGAACCAGAGGACGGTAACGAGGGCCAGCAGCGGCGTTGGCTTCTGGACCAAGCGGCCGTCGTGGAAGACGACCGGCTTCGGCAGCTTGTCACTGGCGACGGCCCCGCATCTGGGTTTCGGTGGCACCACATACGCCTCCTGTGTACATAATACCAAGCATTCACTTCATGCATAAATATAAATATAAATATAAATATAAATAAATAAATAAATAAATAAATATATATATATATATATATATATATATATATATATATATATATACTTTTCAACTTTTGAAAGAATTGATATGCAAAATATTCTTATATATATTATTTTTTATTCTTAGACAATGAAGATGTTACAGCTAATTCCACTACATTCTTATATCTTAAATATTGATCGATGTGGTGGTATTCCATACTCATTTATCAAAGATAGATAATTCAAAAATTAATCTGATTTATTTTTTTAAATAATTTTCAATATATTCTTATGACTAAGTTTTTATTTAAAAAAAGAATTGATCTAAAAACTATTTAAGATTCGTGCAAGCGTTGCTAATTCTCTTTCTTTCTCACAGCGCCGTTATCTGCCTCAAGAAACGCAAACCGTAGTGTTCATTCTATGCTCCTCTCTCATGTCTATCGTTACGTAATGCATGGCTTTTGGAAGAAGCAGCAGCGCGCACGTACCTGACAAAGACTCATGAAAGGGAAGTCGGTCTCCCGATCGCCCAGCCCGATCTCCGGCGACGCCTCCGGCAACTGCTTGCGGAGCGCGGCGGCTTTGTTCCTTCCAACGAGAACCCCCGGGTGGACGGCGAACCCCGTCAACCGGCCTTTGTACGTCCCGAGCTCCGTCCCGATGACGAGGTCAGCGCCCAGGTACTCCTTCAGGAACGCCTCCACCATGATCCTGGGGTTGGCCGTGAGCACGCACCGCCTGCCACACGCCGAGAACACCCGCCACGCCTCCGGGTGGACGTCCGCCGAGTAGAACTTGGGCAGCACCGCCCGCGCCGCCAACTCCACTTCCTCCACCCGCGCCCCGGCCAGCGCCGCGAAGATGAGCACCTTGATCCCGGCCGACTCCGACAGGAAGTAGTAAAGCACGCCAACCAGCGGCGCCGCCAGGAGCAGGAGCAGCAACCTCAGGACGCCGCCCACCTCGAATGCGACGAGCGCGAAGTAGGGGAAGGAGCTGCGGCCCAGGAGCAAGGTGCCGTCCATGTCGGCCACCACCGTGTGCCCCTCCCGCCCCACCGAGGTGCACTGGTCCACGGTCTTGAAAGTCTCACCCCGGAACGCAACCATTTCGGTGCTGTCACCACCCTCCCGTATCTGCCAAGAGAGAGGGAGAGAGAGAAAGAGAGAGGAAAGGGCAGAGGAGAAGCTACTTTTAAAGTTGCATGCTTTCCTACGGTTGCATATATAGAGCGGGAAGGTAGGTGGAGAAGGAATAGTATACAAGGCATGAAGGAGAAGTGTTGGTATGTAGTTGGAAATGGCCAAACCTGTTGCTAGTATTTTATTGCAGAAAGGCCATGGTTTTGCTTGGGATTAAACGTTTATTCCCAGGAGAAGGAAGCATTCTCCACCAGCGAATGCTCTTGGGAATCATCACCACATTGGCGCCATGCAGCAGGAGAAAACAAGAGCTTTCCGTGTCAACGCATGCTTTCGCTGTGGCAGATTAAGACCCGGTGGTGGCGGTGGTGGTGGCGACTCTTAGCTGCTGCATTGCTGGTTCCATAAATGCCACTTCCATGAGCTCCCTCACCAGAGGGGCAGACATGGATATCACCTGTGTGGATCTCAAAAAGACTGATGCGAGGTGTGGTGACATATTCTCTTTTTCTTTCTTTCTTTCCAGTGCTTTTTATAACTATACAAACAACAAGTAATGATGCTTCAAACAAGTAATAACAAAATCAAATTGATAAGATAATTCTTGACAAACAGTTTGAATATATTTTGTGCACACTATTGTTGTGATGTTGATGTTTCACAAAAAGTAGGTAGTCGAATATGTATGTATTGATATCACTTATCCAATTCATAGTAAAAGAAAGTTACAAGCATAAAAGATTCTTCTACTCGGTTGTGAATGATTATCGACACAATTTAAAAGATAAATATTTTTATTATAAAGAATAAATAGTAAAGACAGGATTCGAGCTCAAGATCTTACGATATCCTATTAAATTTTTTACCGGTTAAATTATTCAACACATTCACTATAAATATTATTCGATGATTCTTGTTATTATTCCATTGATATCACAGATAAAGTTTGTATTAAAAAAAAAAGATTATGGGACCCGGATACATCTTAATAAATACTTTGAAAATTATGCAAGTAGCTATTAATGTGATGTTGGAGCTTCACATAAATAGGTAGTTGAGGATGTAATTAATATCCATTAATTCTCATGCAATCGTCCGAGCTACGTGTAATTTTGCAAGCTACAATAATTTGGACATCTCCTTTACTCTGGCTAATTATGAAAGCAAGTGTTCGCTACGCTATCTCGAGAGGTCACAATTCAAAGGACAGCATTGATTAATTCCCATCAATAGACGTCCAAATTGCATAGCTACAATGACGATGACATTTCTGTATTCTAATTTCTTGCCAATGCAATTGTTTTCGACATTTTTTTTTGGGGGGGTCACAAAGTTAAATATATGTCAAAATAATAATTAGATATTAAATTGGCCTACCTACATTGCGCCGACCACCACCAAACTCATGTGTGGGCTCCACAATGTGGGTTTGTCTAAAGGCCACCTGTTCTGAGTAAAACATCCGGGTACGAATTTTGGCATAGGGATCATTACCCTTTTCATTCGCTTACATTATTTGTGCTTAAACCCTAATAAAATTATGGATATGGTTTATAATTTTGTCATTCCTGCCGATGCATAATCCATTAGATTATCTTTTATCTAAATAAATTTTAATTATTTTAGTATTATTTCATATATATGTGTGTGTGCGCGTGCGTGCGTGTGTGTATGTATAAAATTATCGACATCTACTAAATGAAGAAAATGATGAAGCAAATAAAAAAAAAGACTAATGAATTGAATTGAGTTCCGTTCTTATTTTGTGTAAGTGGTGCAAGTAAAAAATATCTCGTCATTTATGTATGAGTATAAAAATATAAGATCCGAGAGTTTGTTACTCGAATATGAAATCTTATTAGTTATTTTTTTAAATTATATTTCAATTATTATTATTTTTCTTATTTTGTATCGCTATATCATTAAGAAGGAAATTTGTTGTCACTAGTTTTACATCAATAACTTATATGATATTAATTGATCGAAATGGGAGGATGTTAATAGTGTATTGACATCTAACGATAGGAGAACATGAAATTTATTTCAAGAGTTAAGTCAATTCAATTCACTCATGGCAAATGAGAGCAACAAGTAACAAGATAGATATGGGTTTGAAATGAATTTGGAGACATGTGTCCTTAATCGAATTTAAGTTAGGACATGATAAATTTGATTGTGATAGTGATTGCGGATCAGATTTTGGGTATCATGTCCATTCGATTATCTTAAAGTCGATTAGAATATTCATTAATCAGGTTTAAGATGAGACACAAATAGGGAAAAAAGTAAAGAGCATCAATTAATTATACAGACATATATTTATTTGTGTGTTCTTTGTGGAGGTCTAGATTAGTATGGCGTTTGAAGTGGCTATAATGTATCACTGTACACGTTGAGTCAAACACCAAAGAGAAAACTAGCATCCAAAGAAGAAGAGTACCACAAGGTGCCGATCCATGCATGTGATCTCTTCTCTCTCCTCCCGAACAAGAGAACATTCGTTTGCATGGCAACCATGGCCAGTTCCAGCGAGGAGTCCCCACCAATTCCCTGTGTTGATCCGATGTAATATTCCCTTGGTCTCGATCAACATCTGTAGCCACAGTCTTTGCCAACTACCCGATGCGATCAGCTGTCTGATATATATCGTTTTAAGATATACTACTGAAGCATATAGTTTAATCGTTCCAAAGTTCTTTGCACTAACCACGCATCACACAGAGAGAGAGAGAGAGAGAGAGAGAGAGAGAGAGAGAGAGAGAGAGAGAGGAGAGACCCATGTCGCCGTCAGACGTAGACCGACGAGGAAGACGAGTAAAACCTGCAGCTGGGGATTCAGATGGATCTTTGATCCGGAAAAGACACAGCAATCACGTTTCAAAGAGCCAACTTTGCTTCAAAATGGTGAAGAACTTGAACATGAACATCATTATCGATTATAATGACAGCAACCAACCACGACACAGATTTGAAGGAGTTGGCAGTGCAAAAACGTGATTTATGCACATACATAAACCTTAGAGAGATTACCTGTTGACAGTGCTGCAGTTCTCCACTCACATCAATCTGATTCTTGTCTATTTTTTCCAGGCCACGACACTAAAAGATTGAAATATATGAACAGATCTGGAAGGGATGCATGAACAAGATAATCATCTCCAGTGTGCCCCTCAATAAATAGAGGAAACTTGTGAGGAAGGGAGTGAAAAAATAAAAGGAGTGAGAAGATGTTGAACTCAATTGAGTCACAAATTTGCTCAAGGAACTCAACGTTAACTCTACAATTATTCCTACAATATATTGTGATAATATTGGAGCTACATATTTATGTGCTAATCCAGTGTTCCATTCCCGCATGAAACACATAGCCATTGACTTCCACTTCGTGTGAGATCAAGTTATCAGACATCAACTTCGTGTTTCTCACGTACATACAGCTGATCAACTAGCAGACTCACTCATAAAACCTCTCGCCCGTAAATTTTTTTCATCTCATCGGTCCAAGATCGGCATCCTTGATGGAAGCTCAATCTTGCGGGGCATGATAAGCAGATAAGATTTCCTCAATTTCTATCTTTCTATATTCTTCGTTTAATTTTTATCACCTACAACTATACGGCTTTTCATCTTCTTCAAACTTTTTGATTGGGAGTCTCCTGGTATGATTTGTCGTATCCATGTCAATGCTCTTTAGGGTATGTTGAAACCACCACAGTAAGCCTTACATGGAGTCGCATTCCCAAGGGAACTCTTAGGAGAGACAATCCTAATCAAACAAATCAGAGAGATTCTTATGAATACACACACTTTGACTCAAGAAATAGATGTGACTGATTAAGACCACCATCTTTCAAGTCTCAGATGGAGGAACCACAACTTGAGAGAATTGTCAAAATGGTTCAGCAAATCTGAAGCAACAAAATTCCCAAAAACGATGCATGAAGATTTGTGTGAGAGCACAATCAATAACCATAAACTAAACCATGCATCGATACCATAGAGGTGATTTGTGCTCTCCAGAAGCTTAAGGATATGTGCAGCAAAGAATATACAAGTACTGTCTCCTGACAAGTATTTTTCTTTTGATCAAACCATGCAACAAATACATGAGAAACTAAGACTTCTTCTGTTCACCAGAAAGAGTAGGTGACAGTAATATCTGAGATTCTAAGATTAATTGAAACCCCCAACACAAATGCAGTCAAAAGAAATAACATATATATTATCAGCTTAATCAAAGTAAGTTAGATGATTTCATCTCGAACCGATGTAAATTTTACAAAGAAGTAACTTGTGTGAGCCCCCACGAAGCTAAGAACAAGAAAGAGAAAACAAATGGAAAGCAATGGCAGAGCAGCTATTCCACTTGAATTTTTCTTGTCCTACTGTCCTAAAATTTGATTCCTTCTTGCTGGCATTTACTACTATCCATCAATCACCAGTTGTTGCTAAGCCCAAACCACATCACGAAAGACAGTGAAAGAAAGAAAGGAAAAGACAAACACTCTTTTTTACCACAAAGCATGGGTGTTTACAGTGACAGATTTTGCTTTCTTTCTATTCCAAAAAAAAAAGGAGTTATATATATATATAATATATATATATATATATATATATATATATAATATTAAAATCGTTCACATGTTTCTTATGATCATAATTAAAAAATAATTTAATATGGAACAATAGGGAGAAAGCTTTTATAAAAGAATTGACCAAGTCAATCTTAAGAAAAAAATAAATAAATATGATCAAGGAGTCTACTTTGGAGTTTTAAATATTTTAAAATGTATAAATAATTGAAGAGTATAATATATTGTTGTAGAGATCTCACGACAATCTTCAAATAAGTACTAAGATCCATTCAAGAATATCATGAAAAGATTATTTTTTAAAGAGCCTAAAGTTGTTCGCTTATCATTTTTATTTTAATATTTCTTTTAATTATCTCATATTATTTAGTTAACTAATTTTTAAGGCCTGAACTAGTATAAATAAAGTCTTCATCTAAGCCTATTCAATATATCAAAAATAATATCTTTCAAGTAGTGTATACAATCTTCTTCTATAATATAAATAATTGATTTCCTTTTTTTCCCTTTATAAGGGTAGTTTACTATATATAATTATTTTTAGTAGTATTTTTTTAAATTTTATTTTCGTTAGTTGGTATTTTGTACCTTAAAAATTAAAAAGTATTTTCTACACTTGCCACTTATAATGGATATTGTGTATCAAAAATTTAATTTATTAAATACAATCCTATAATCCATCAATATGAGATTTAGTTATAATAATGGCAACAACGACGATGATATTATCGATGATCATAGTGGTAATTTCAATGGTGATGACCTAGAGGCAATGACAATGACTCTAACAATAATGATCGGAGAATGCTAACCCTATGGGTGACATCAGAAACACAAGAAGCAAGAATGACTCAGAAACTTTAAAAGATTCGTGGCATACTCAGTAACTTGGGTTTAGGCACCAACAGAGTTCATGATGATGGTAGGATCAATCGGGTCGGAGTTGATGCTAACAACCCACCCAATAATCAACACGTGATTGTAATTCAATGTCGACAACTAGCTTATAAAGATAAGTTGGATAAAGAAAAAGAGATTGTGGACTATCATAGAACCAACCAAAGAAGAGATATATGTGCAGCTCAACCTCAATACTTCAACCAACGTGATACTATCCATTCATGACAACCAATATTATGATGATGACTTAAAAAATGATAGTAAAAAATATAGAAGACATCAAGCACCACCCAGATGAAATAGGTTATTTGAGGATTATCTCCTCAAAATAGACTTAACCAGTTTTAATATCCATATAAGTTTTTTTTAGTTGGAGTTATGAAGTAGAGAATTTCTTTGAGATGATGGATATTCCTGATCACAAATAAGTCAAGCTTGTTACATACAAGCTGAAAGGATATGCAATTGTTTGGTGGGATATATTACAAGAAGAAGGCAAGGAAAAGCACCAGTACAAACATAATGAAAGATGAAGTAACTTATCAAAAAAAAGATTTTTACCCCTAAACTATGAACAATCGTTGTTTCAACAATACTAAAATTGCAACACTTGATCTGTAACCGAATATACTGATAAGTACTAGATGTAACTTATAAGAATCAAAAGAGCAATCAATAGCAAGATATAACAATAGACTAAAATTTTTAATCAAAGATAGAATATCTTTAACTCCGATATGGATAGTAGACAAACCTCACAATATTATATTAAAGGCTAAAATATTATTGACTCAACCTTCAATTGTTAATCGATAATTCTCTACTATGACAACACAAACTGCTTTTAATAAAGAAAAGCAAATTGTGATTAAGTCAATACAACTTATAAATCAAAATGTATGCACAAGTGTCAGAGGAGCAACAAGGCAAGCTAAGCATATCTCGACTACTATAAATAATTCATGTGCTCAACCTATAGTTGGAAAATATTTCAAATGTAGGGGGGGGGGTCTGATTATCATTCAAACGAGTATCGTACTTGTAAGACTGTCAACTTTGCAAATCACAAAAATAACTTTGAAGAAGGAGATGCCCAAGATGATGAGATTGATGATTTTGATAATGCTGAAATAACATAGGAAGAAGGAGAACACAAGATATATGTTATAAAAAGATTATTATTCACCCCAAGACAAAAGGATTTATCTCAACACAACAAGAGCATCTTTCATTCTCAATGCAGTATTAATAATAAAGTCTATACAGTAATCATAAACAATGGAAGTTATGGTAATATTGTATCCAAATCATTCGTGAAACACTTAAAATTATAAAAAAGTTCATTTAATACCATATAAGTTAGTATAGATTTATAGAGTTTCTCACTCAATTATAAAAAGTTAGAAGTACCTGAGCTAGTTGGCATGATAGTACGATGTAAATGTAACCAAGTTAGATAAATATAGATACCAAGATCGTACCATTTTTCAAAGTAAATTTATGGGGATAAATATAAAAATTGATCAAAAAAAGAAAAACCAAAGAATCTTAGGCAGATGTGAATCAACAACAAGGTCCAAATCCAAGTTGGATTGCTATCCCCTACCCTACCCTACCCTACCCACCAAGCTTGTAATCTTTCACCATTTGGACTGATGTGAACAAGCATTTGGTACCCACCCTCTTCCCTCATGCTGTCACATCCACGGTAGACGCGTTTCGTCCATTAGATCCTGTCCTTATGCTCCAATCTATACTCGCTCGTCAAGCCATCTTTTAAGTCCTCGTCCGTTCATACCAAGGAAAATGAAATCACCCCTCTTTTGCCCACTGTGTTTCTACATATTATTTTAAGTCTTTTTTTATAATATATCTATGAAAAATTACAGATAAAACTATAAAAAAAATTATCAATAGCATTAGATTCGATCAGAATCGGTGATTGGATCGTTTGTAATTTGTTTCGATTTCATTCGATAAGGACATGAATATAGGAAAGCATATCTCAATAATTGTTCTCTTTCTTCTCATTCTTATTTGGCTTTACCCTTCTTGTTTTGGGACCTTCGGATTCGGATCGGATCACATCCAATCCGCTTCCCTCCCCCTATTGGCTTATATTACAAGGTCCGGTGCGGTACCCTTCCCGGGAAACGGGATCCCTTGCTTTCCTTCTGATACCGCTCGACATGTCTTCCTCCTCCCTTCTTCTGTTACTCTTCTTCTTCTTCCTTCACCTCCCTCTCCTCTTCCTGCCCACCCTCGCCGCTGGCCACGTTGAGTCGCCGGCCTCGCCGTCGAACGGCACCACCGTTTATGACCTGCTTCCGGAGTATGGCCTGCCGCCCGGCGTTCTTCCGGACACCGTCAAGTCCTTCTCGCTCGCCAGCAACGGCCGGTTCGTCGTGGAGCTCTACGGCCCCTGCTACGTCGACTTCGAGTACCTGGTCTACTACGCCCCCCGCGTGTCCGGCGTCATCAAGTACGGCGGCATCGCGAGTCTCGAGGGCGTCCAGGTCCGCCGCTTCATGGTCTGGTTCGACGTCGGCGGCATCATGGTCGACGTCCCCTCCTCTGAGTTCATCTACTTCCAGGTCGGATGGATCACCCGCAAGCTCGGCATCGAGCAGTTCCAGACCGTGCACTCCTGCAGGGACAGTCTCTCGCTGCTTGGCCGCGCCAAGGAGGTCGCCCGTTCCATGCTCGAGGTAATGTCCCTTTGTGTTTGTGTATGTGTCAGAATTAAAAATGGTTCCTTACAACATGACACGAAGTTGGTGTGTAGTTAAGATCGAATTGTGTGGAAAACGTCGCGCGTCAAAGAAGCGTATCTTATCCTTTTGGTTGACATAGTATGGCAACCTTCTGCCGAGCAAAATGTCCTTTTTAGGATCGCTTGTAAAAGACTCTAAGAACAAAAAGCTAATACGCATACATTGAAAAAGGGAAATCTATGATCAATTTAGAGTTTAAAAGGAATATGCAATACACTTCAACATGTCAAGGAAAAGATCCAGTTTTGCCCACTTTGGAGGGTTATGCTTGGAATTTTCCTATATATTTTGTTTTTCTGAGAACTTTTGAGAGAAACTTCATACCTAAATTTCTTAAAAGTGTTCCTGATTACACAATTCTGTGTATCTTGGTACTGATTAAACAATATATTTGCTTCCTGTCCATTTCAGAGCATTTTTGCACCTCAACTGTGACGAATTAATGTGAGAAGACAAAACCAGCTGGCTAATGCATGGAAATTCTAAAGGTACTTTCCTGTATGTTCACTTCATCATTAATTTTCACTATTATGATTTCTTGGTTAAATGGGTTAACATTGGGAAGTCATGCACGAAAGTGCCTGCTTTACATTATTTATGAGGAAGAATCTTGCAGATCTAATGGCCATTTTGAATCACATGGCATGAACCAGGAAGTGCTATTGCAGAAGATTTTCAAGAGGTGAAAGGCCAGAAGTGTTAGGATACACTTCCGACCCAAACACCACTCATCTTGAGTTCCTGTTCCATTACATAAAAATTAATTGTAGTTTGTAGTTTTTCATTGACAGAATGGCAGTAGTATTTCTCTAAAGAACTTTTCTGGAATAGCATGTTTGTATTTTCAAAATTTTGTCCAAACCACCCCCGATAGAATGATGAAAGTTGCATGTCTGAAGGAATTTTTGGGCTGAAAATTGAGTAATGTTACGATTTTCCTGTCACATATATTGACATGCTCCTTTTAGTAGGAAAACTTAATCAAGGTAAATATTCTCATGGTCACCTTTCAACTTTCTATTGCCTCAAGTATGATTTCTCAACCAATAGTCCTTGCACACTAGATTTAACTTCTTTTCAAGTGAACAAGCTCTAGTCATTCATGTGCAGAACTACAGTGAATTGATTCCTGATCACTCTCAATTTGCTTGATTTGTGTTGCAGTATCCACATCAGAATTCTCCTCTGTGATTTATTTTTTACCTCTTTGCTATGTGAATCCAGACTCATTCCTGTTATGGCAAACACAAAACAGAAGGTTAACTGATGACTAAAAATACTCATAGCTTATTGTTTCCAGAGAATTGAGTGAAATGTGTTTTTGAGTTGTGTATCCTACGTATCCTGTTCTCTAGCGTTTTAGATTTCTTCTGCTACCTCAGGATATTAGCCTGATTTGGAAGTCGTTCCTTTATTTGAAAAACATTTTATGTTAGGCTCATATGTACCATTACACATTATTTGTTCTATACAATTTTGGTTGTAAAACTAAGCATGGACAATTATAAGAAAGAATCTTGTGGAGTAAGTGTTTCTAAATTATAAAGCAGAAAAGATAGTTCATGATCATGATTGAGATTTTTGTTACTTGTATACTTGCAGAGTGGCCGATCAAGAAAATTGATTTTTAGTATGTCTTGGTGGTAGATTCTTATATTACTGGTGAGAGTGGACCTCTTGTTTTTCTCAAGTCTAAAAGAAAAAATGGAAAAGGGAAGATGATGCTAATAATTTGATCCTTTTCAACTGTAAACCTGCATATTATTGGGTCTTTTCAGCAACAAGGGGAACAAGTAGGATTTTAGATCGAATCCCATGAATAAGATTTTCTTTTAATCAGTGATGATGACAATTGAGATTTTTATCAACTCTATGCTTGGTCAAATTTATTTGCTCGACAACTATAAAGATGACTGAGTTTGTTAACAGATGAGAAGAATCTCCTTTTTCCTGTGTTCTTGATTTAAACTTCTAAATATTGTACCATTCAGATGATATACTTTTAAATTTATTTATTATATTTCTTTCCGGGCTCTATGTTTGAGGAACTAAGATAACATGAACTGATTCAGTGGTTTTGACATTCTTTGCATTACTACTGTATATATACAGAAACGGTGAACATATTCATAGCATATTCTTCTCAGATGAACTATCATAATGCTCCATATGTATCAAACTGGTACGCTGATTTCTCTCATGGTTTGTGAATTTTCAGTTGTGCACGTCCAAGAACCCATGTGAGATATAAGCACGTTGGCCGTGGAATAGACACCAAATATTAGCCGATAGCACAACCTCTCGAGCATCCCGCAATGCTTCTCATAAGATATTGCTGCTGAGCTAAGGAGTGTTGCCTTGTCGTATCTCCTGTTCGATTAGCCAAACCAACTTTCTCAATAGAAACTGTTACCGTATGGTTCATCACTGTATATTTACATCAGATTTCTGTTGTTGTTCCCTTGTTGATAATGGTGAGGTGTAGCATCTTTTCTTGTGTAATAATCAGTAAAATATTGTTATTTTCTGGGTGTTCTTGCAGAAGACCCTTCTGATATCTGCAATCAGCCAAATCCCTGGTTGATAATTGGTGGTATATATAATCTTGATATTGATATAGGACATTAACTGATACTGATATAGTACATGTAGACCTCTTAGTAATTGTTCTTGTCGCAATTAGGCCACCTAATTCCAAAGTTACATATATGACAATGCCCATTTTTTGGCACCCGAAACTGGGCTTCAATATCTCATTACGGCCCCACCCAAATACGAGGATTTGATCTTCTATATGTATGTATGTATGTATATAATAAATACAATGATAAATATATGTTGATGCCAATTTTATCGTTAATTTGAGATGATAAGGTTGACCCGTTAATTTGAGATGATAAGGTTGACCCAGCGTAACATGTTTTATCCAATTTTGTTCGTTCGGAATCGGAGAAAAAAAAAAAAAAGAGAGGGTCAGTTTTGGAGGAAAATTAGATCTCAAAGGTTGACTAGGAAGATGTCAGCTCAGGGAGCTTTGACGGAGCTCATTAGTATCATTAGTCTCCTTGTAAAACTTGCATCAATGATCTTCCCGATAAGATTTTTCGATGCTTTAAGTTTGCATTTACTCGGGTCAAATGAAGAAAAACCTGAGAATTCAAAAAGGTTAGAACGAGTTCTAAGAGTAAGGAATCAGATAGGTCGTATTTGGAGAGACCCTTATAGGTATTAATTATGATTAAGGAAATCCTACTTTTAGATGCTACATTGATGTGATACATATATTGGTACATTGTTGTTTCTCAACTGATTGGACTCTATATGTCAGAACTTTAAATGTTTGTTTGCATATTTGTCATATCAGTTACTCCTATTATTTTGATTTTAGGATCTTGATAATCATTATTTATATTAAAAATTAGTTATTGAATGTTTTTATTCGAGAAGAAAAAATAATATATATAATATTTTTGTCGAGTGAGGATGAGTCGTATGTGCTGGATATTTTTATCTAACATGAATACATAGGCAAAAATTTTAACCTACTTCATATGCTTTTACGTTACGTGGAGGATACATTAGATATAAAAAGATGTTTTATTCGGATATAATGGATCATATCATAGATGAATACATCAGGTGCAAAGAGATGTCTTGTTCGATTATGACAAATTAGATATAAAAGATTCTTTGCTCGATTTGATATATCAAATATTTTGAATATTTTTGTTTTGAAAGGAGACATTAGACATAAGGTGCATTCGGTGTTTTGGATGTTTTTATCTTTGATGGATATATCAAGTACAAAGAGATGCTTTTCTCGATTAGAATATATCAAGTACTCTAGATACTTTGTAGACACATAAAACATCATGAAGATGTTTTACCTCACTTTCAATGCTTATAACTTAAGTATATAAATATATGCATTGGAGGAAAGAAAATTCTTTTTTGAGTAGGATATAGTAGGTACTTTGAATACTTTTATCATGGGCACACACATCACGCATAGAGATATTTTGCTTAGTTAGAATGTAAAGAACACTTCCGATGCTCATTTATCATGAGCGAATATATCGCAAGAAGATTTTTTGTTTGATTAAGATACATTAGATGCTCTACCAATACTTCATATTCTTGTGTCTTGGGTTGATATATTAGATACAAAGAGATACTTTGCTTAGATGATGTATCGGGACTTTCAAATGCTTGTCTTGGATGACTATACTCGGTGCAAGGAGATGCCTTGTCTATTTGTGATGGATTAGATGTGATAAATTCTTTGCCCGATTATGATACATCAAATACTTTGAATACTTTTATCTTGGAAGAAGACATTAGGTACAGGGTGTATTTGGTGCTTTGAATATTTTTGTCTAAAATGAGACATTAGACATAGGGTGTATCAGGTGCTTTGGATGTTTTTATATTTAATGGACGTATTAGGCATAAGGATATGTTTTTATCTCGAGTACTCTAGATATTTCTATTATTGATAGACACATAAAACATTATGAAGATATTTTATCTAATTAGGATACAAGGAGCACTTTCAATGCTTATATTTTAAGTGTATGCATTGGATGATGAAAGAAAATTTTTTTCCTAGTTAAGATACATTTGGTGCTTTAGATACGATACATTTGATGCTTTAGATACTTTTATCATGGGTAGACACATCAAGCATAGAGATATTTTACTTAGTTAGAATGCATATATTTTACTTTTGATACTCATTTATCATGAGCAAATATATCAAACACAAGAAGATTTTTTGCTTAATCAAGATACATTAGATACTCTAGCAATGTTTCACATACTTGTGTTCAATAGTTACACTGATACAAAGAGATGCTTTACTCAAATATGATGCATCAACACTTTTAAATGCTTATGTCCTAAATGAATGCACCAAATACAAGAGATAACTTATCTAAATATGACGAATTAGATGTGAGAGATTCTTTATCCAATTATGATATATCAAATACTTCGAATACTTTTATCCTAGAATGAAATGTTAGACATAGGGTGCATCGAGTGCCTTGGATGTTTTTATCATTGATGGACGTATTAGACATAAGAAAATATTTTCATCGATTAGAACATATCAAGTGCTCTGGATGCTTTTATCATGGGTAGTCACATAAAGCATCATGAAGATGTTTTATCTAATAAGGATATAAGGTGTACTTTCAATACTTATATCTGCTTTTATCATGGGCAGATACATGAAGCATAGAGATGTTTTACTTCGTCAAAATGCAAGCAGCACTTCTTATGCTTGTATATCATGAGTAAATATATTAAATACAAGAAGATTTTTTGCTTGATTAAGATAAATATATACTCTACCAATACTTCATATGCCGTCAAACATAAAAAGATACTTTATTTGAAAATGACATATCGGGATTTCAAATGCTTATGTTCGGGATGAATGCATAAGGTGCAAGGAGATGCCTTCTCCGATTATGACAAATTATATATGAGAATACTTTGAATTATGGTACATCAAAATACTTTGAATACTTATATCTTGGAAATAGATATTATACATAGAATTAGATGTCTTAGATGTTTTTATCTTTGATGAACGTATCAAGTACAAGAAGATATTTTCCTCGATTAGAATATATCAAGTGCTCTAAATAATTATTCTTCGTTAAGGTGCATCGAATGCGTTAAAAAATAATTATTCTATCGAAGAGACATCCAAACTCGATGCAAGTCAATTCATCAACATTAATCGTAATTCTAAACTTTTGATTGATTTTTTTTTCTTCCAAAAAATAAAACTTGAACATGATAAAACTTTGCATATAAACTGGGAGTTGTAAATCGAGCCAAAGGTTTTAAACTATTATTCTAATTAGACAAACAAATCGAATCAAACTAAACCGTACCACCATATTGGGCTAAATTATGCTTAGTCAATCTCATTCATAATCTATCTCATTAAGTTAGACACACTTCCCCCACCGGAATCGGAATAATGGGCGTTCAAAACCAATGCCATATCACACACTATTCATCGTAGGAGGCTATGAACTTTGGAAACATTTGGAATATAATCTCACCTAACTTACCGATGGATACCGCACAACATGCTTCTTTTGGCTGTCGGTATTCTCCGCAGTTGTTTGACGACAACAAAAAATAATTCTTCTCACTTGTGAGTCACATGTTCATGTGTGTTCTTTAGTGCCACCTTCTCCGTGGCCTTCAAAAAGCACGACCAAAGTCATTTAGATCCTTTAGAAAAATGGTGTCGTGGATTCTAAACCACGTTGAGGTTGATAAAGATTCTGCCCACCAAAACAAGAAGTAATTTGAATCGTCCATTTCATTGGTCTCTCTTTGGTCATGTCCTATTATTTTCCGAACATCAAATCGAATCATGTGTTAGAAGCCAAAAAACAACTCTCTTCTTCAAAAAAGAGTATCCATAGTGCTGTAAGAATTGGATTCCCACTCGAACAAAGGCAAACACAATCCTTTTCTGTTCATATTAGTATTGGTGGGGACCGCAATCTACCACAGAATCCGAGCGAGACCGTGTGGATCACGGCGGCGCACACGCGGCGACCGAGGAGGGCTTCCTGGATTACGCGAAAGCTTTCGACCACTCCGCGTTGGGATACCCTTCGCGTTGTTGACTTGTAATTGGATGAAAGGATCGGGTCCACAGCGAGAAAAAGTAGTCGTCACGCGCTGCGCCGGGATTCGGCCAGGTAGAGGGTGACACGCGTAGATTGTATCCGAACAGGAAGAATCCGTCTACGTACGCCTCCGACACCCTCTCGCGCTCTCCTGCGGCTGTTCAGTCGATCCCGCTTTTGTCATTATTAATGAGGTATATATCTCTGTCGTGATGTTATGATAGATGTGAGAGTTGCAACAACTCGTCCTCGGTCGGCCCGCTCTGTTTCTTCTTCGTCTTCCGCGATCTCGGAGTCACGACCGCAGACCCAGCATTGGGACACACGCAGAGGGAGGGGCAGAGGAGGAGAACGGAGAGAGGGATATGGGGCCGTGCCTCTCGAGACCGGATGGGTGCGTCGGAGGGCAGCGGAGCTCGGCGGAAGGGACGCGGCGAAGGAGGAGGAGGAGGACGATCAGGCGGCGTGCGGCGGCACGGAAGGTGATGGAGACGATCGACGAGGCCCAGGCCGATCAGGCGCCCTACAGCAACCCCGCGTTCCGAGGTTGTGGCTTGACTTCGTCTTCGCTTGTTTTTGGTGTTCGATTTGGTTTGGGGTTTTCGAAGGGGGCCAAAAAAGGTGAGGTTTTTATGGCTGGGGGGTGAGTCCTGATGTGCATCGAGCTGGTTTTGTTCCCAAAATTGGCATCTTAGCCACCTGGTTTTTGGATTCGAATGATACAGATAGATAGGGGAAGGAGTGCCTTCGACTTCGATTCTTAATGGCAGTAGATATTTGATCGAAGTTGGGACGTCGAAAGAGATCAAAGCTTTATGCTTTAGATTGAAAAGTCAACCGGATGATCATAGTCGTCTATGCTGCAATTGAACGCGGCTTGACAGAATAATCAGTGCAACACATGCTCTGTAGCAGACTTTTGATAAGTTCTTAAGACATGAGATGTTGATACTGATTTCATCTTTTTTACCATGTTGTTTACTACTGTTTGGCAATAATCAGTTGAGCAATCGTTTTGGTTTCTCTAACTATATGGCATTGCTTAAAATTGAAGCTATGATATCGACAGGGAGTACCGAGGAAGCATGGTTCGACACATTCTCTGCGGTTGCATCAGATGAGGAGGATTTTAGGAGCGTTCAGGATGGTACTACGTTGCACATATCAGATTGATATTGGATGATGGATCCTTGGCAATGATTATTCATCAATATCTACTATTCTTTTCGAGCTTATTTGATCTCCCTTGTCCTTGAGTTGTGATATGCGTCGTAAATTTCTGCAGATGCTTTCTCCATAAACAGTTTTGAAGGCGAAGACATATTGAGCCCTTCATCTTTCAGGGATGGCAGCATAGGAGCAAGCCACCCGAATGCTTCCTCCATTTCTTCTATTGATCGACAGCAGAAGGGACGAAAATTAGGGGAGCAGTCTCCAAAGAACTCGGAGAATACTGCGAAAGCCTTTGTGAGTCTTGAGGATTTGTCAATCATGCCTGCGGATGCGAATGCTGGTGGGCATGATGGGGGTATATTGAACAATTGCGGGATCCTGCCAAACAACTGCTTACCATGCCTCGTTGCCCCTGTATCGACCGCTGAAAAGAGAAAAGCTTTATGCTCAAGTCCACCAAACTCAGCCAAAAAGACATCCTTGAAGCTTTCCTTCAAGTGGAAGTCAGGGGAAGCACATTCCACATCTACATTATGTTAGTATTACTACCCTCTCTTCATTCATCTGGATGCTGGTTTTTTCAGTAAAATAATTCTTGGACTTTGGACTTCATCTGAGTGTTGTTTATTCTCTGAAATAAATAGAAAAAATATCATCAAACTAATTGTTATACCCCACTCTTGTCTCTTGAATATCTTAATCTTCACCAGCAATAATTTGTTCGTTTCTTTTGTGTCCTGATCTTTTCTGATTTGTAGCAACCACTGAATCTCATACATTTTAGTTGAACTAATTGTGTTTGAGTATTTCTCATTAATTTCATGTATCATTTCCATTTGCTTAAATAGCTTTATTTATGAGTTCATAAAGAAATCTTTTGAGGCTTTCTCTTTGATCATGAAATGTAATACTGACTTTGTCTTTTATTTGTGTGCAAGTTTCTACAAGGCCCTTTCTTGAAAAGCCACTAGCAGGTTCTCAAGTTCCTTTCTGCCTGCTAGAGAAGAAAATTCTTGATAGCTGGTCACATATAGAGCCCAGCACATTCAAAGTACGGGGGCCACATTACTTTAGGTAGTTGTAGTTCAATTATCCAAAGATTTACTTTTTTCTCAATTATAGTGTGGAAATGCCTCATTTTATACATATGTGAAATCTGGATGGTGTAATTGTGACTGAATTTCTGATGTTAGCTTTCAACTGTTGCCAGGGACAAGAAGAAAGATTTTGCTCCAAATAATGCAGCATACTGTCCATTTGGTGTCGATGTCTACCTGTGCCAGCAAAAAATTAATCACATTGCTCGATTTGTGGAACTCCCCAATTTGAGTTCATCTGGCAGGCTCCCACCTATTCTTGTAGTTAATATTCAGGTATGTAGCCAAACCAGCCTTACTGAAAGTATGTTTACCTTATGACTTTTACTTGCTGTTTCAAGATGTATGTCATGCTCTAAGATAAAGCACATTATAATCGACATTATGATACTAGTTTGTGGCTTGAAACACTGTCCAGAAATATAGTTTTCCATATCCACCAACAAAGGGCAAAGTAATCTAGTGTAACAAAGATATCAGAGCATATTTTATCTGCTTACCAAGAGTGGTTTAGTTTATCATTTGATGTGAGCATAGGTATTGTTTTTAAACTTCTCCATTCATGTATAACTTATCCCAACTGGTACATCAAGGAGCCAAACTAAAACACAATTTTGTTATTTGGTATGAACAAATTTTCTTGTTTGCTTGTTCAAGGCATCATTGTATTTTTGTTCTTTAATTAGCTCAACAAAGAACTGAAAGGACCGAATCATTTGGTTTGCTATAACAGCCGACTTTCTTCTTGATACAGGAATCTGCATTTTCAAAGTCAATCTTAAAGCATAACAAAAGTAACATAATGGAAGACTAAATATCTTGACTGAGTTTGTTAGGGGTGACAACATGCTTGTTATTGAAAGGGCTAAAGCTTTATACTACTAACTCTGGCATACTTTTCTGGTCCTTGTTCTCTTTAAATCCTCTTCCTATATCTAGTCGGTACTTGATTACACTTTTATCCAAATCTCCAAGAAAAAGCAGTCATATCATGTGTATGCATCAAATGCTTCCAAGATCTAGAGATTCATGCGAGAGAACAATGGAATTTTCTGACCATAATGTAAAAACTGAGTAATGTTGATGAATAAAAGAATTCAGTTGAAGCATTTCTCTTACTTTAATAATTCTAACTTTAACTATACATCTATACCTATCCTGCTATGGTGCTACCTTATCTTTTTTACTTTATTGACTCCTTATAGACTGTCATCATGATTGTTGACTTTTTAGCTGTATTGTGTAAAGGAGTCGTGCTTTCTCATGTTAAGAAGGTTAGATGTAGATGGCAGCCAGTTCCTGGTGGTTTGTCCACCAACTGCTTAGGTTCTCATGGGACCAGATATACTGTACATATTGAAAAATAAGGAAAAAGGAAGGAGGATATAATGACATCGTAATGCAACTGTAACCATTCACAGTATCAGCTGGTTGGCTGGCCAATGATTGACTTGCATGTACCAAATCATTTTTCCAATTTACTAGGTCAGGCTTAGATACTGGGACAAACAGTCAACAATTCTCTCTTAGATCAGCCTGGGCATATTTGCTGTTCGGATTCCCTAAATAATATGTATTGTGTGAAACGAAAGAGAGTTATACATAAAAAATTGGATCAGAAAAGTGATATATAGGTAAAATAACTTGGATCAAGGATTCAACTTGTATTCACTTACATATCGGTCCAAGTTGATATCTTAAAGAAACCTGCAATGTCCTTATTTTGCTTACTGTATCTACAACCTTTTGAGTATCATGCAGTCAAACTTATCTGCAAGATTTGTTGTGTCTCGCAGGTTCCACTTTATCCTGCTACTATTTTCCAGAGTGAAACTGATGGTGAAGGAATGAGCTTTGTTTTATATTTTAGGCTTTCTGAAGATTACTCAAAGGAACTTCCATCTCATTTCTTGGAGAATATTAGGGTAAGATTAATTCTGATTTCTGATCAGCATCTTTTTTTTTTTTGTTCATCCAGTAAACTTCATACTCCAAATATACACTTGGGAGATTGAGGTGTTTTAAGAGCATGATTTATGGTTTGTGGTGCATGGCATGTTATGAGTGGTCAGTTGTAGTTTGGACTATATCCATTGTTATCTCAGAGTGCCGGTTGTAACATTGTGAAAAAGACCCATACTGAGTAATCCACTAGGTTTTAAGTATAATAAGAGTGTGTATTGTAACAGCAAATACCGGTCTGATTAATACCAGTCTGGACAGGTTTTGAAGCCCTGATTGCATCTATGCATATGGTTCTTATGCATAGATGTCTGTGACTGTATCTCACTTTACTGGGCGCTTACTTTTTGTTGGTATCTTTTGGAAGAGTGTGTATGCTTTCGTCATATCATTCGAATGATTCTTTAGATTTCTATACTATATTTTGATTCTTGCATGTCTTTCTTGACAGAGGATAATTGATGATGAGGAAGAAAGGGTCAAAAGTTTTCCTATGGACACATTTGTTCCCTTCAGAGAAAGGCTAAAAATCCTCGTCCATGCAGCAAATTTGGAGGATCTTCATTTAAGCACTGCTGAGAGGAAGCTTATAAATACGTACAATGAGAGGCCTGTTCTTTCTCGTCCACAACATGATTTCTATTCGGTAAGTTTATCCCTCTTTGGTGATAAAAAAAGTTTGCATCACTGTAAGATCCACATCATTGTGCCACTTTGGCCTAATAGGTTTGAGTTTTGGGAACAGTATATTCCTGTGTGGTGCAGAAGGCACAGACATATAACCCTATACCAGACGCGGATGGAGTTTCATTCATTGGGTTGCTTTATTTTTGTGTCTATCCAAAGGAAATTATATAGAAGAAATTTGGAATTTAGGTTCCGTGATTGATATATTTTCTACGTGAACTTTGACATGAACTGCATGCTGCAGTGAGACATCATTCTAGCACAAATATTTCATCTCATGACCCTTATGTTGCTGCTGTAATTTACAATTTGCAGGGCAATAACTACTTTGAGATTGATTTGGATATACATCGATTTAGTTACATCGCGAGGAAAGGATTTGAAGCATTTCTTGACAGGCTGAAGTTTTGTGTATTGGACTTTGGCCTAACAATACAGGTAACTCCTTTATGTTCAGCACAAAACCGAGATGCACTTGCATATTTTCATTAATATGAATCATAAAGTCAAATAATTTCTTTAGAAGTTGTAGAGGCCTCTGCATGTTAAGTTTAACAGAAGCATCGAACGAACTAATTTATTTCGTATGCAGGGGAACAAGCCTGAAGACTTGCCAGAGCATATCTTGTGCTGTGTGCGGCTGAATAATATCGACTACACCAGTTACCTTCAACTTGCAGTTAACTCGCATCTGGCACAATGAACTGCTAACCAACACAAGTGTTTGATTGTTTAGATATCGACAATTCCCAAATCTTCATACCCCATTGCAACTAAAACAACCACTGACAGGCACAAAAAAAAAACTTGCTGAAGTAGTTACAGATAGGCATGAAGAAGATTTCTACAAACTGTGAAGAAGCCCTCTTTGACAATGGACGGATGCAAGCAGGGCTTCGACTTGTGGAAAAAATAAAGTTCGATTCTTCGAATGTGGTCAGGACGATGCTCTCTGACATTTACACATTTACAAGTTGAAGCGCGAAAGGTGGAAACACAAAAGTTTGGCATTGATGTCGCATTTGTATCTCCCGCGACCGCAGAAATGCATGCTGAATAAAAGAAAAAAATATATATTCTTGGGTGCTCCAGCTTTCAAGCATCTGGATGTCTCTCATATTCTTATCTCCGGCATGTGCACATTAACAAAAGCAGAAATTGTAGTTTGGTTGTATGTTCGAGTGTTGAAATGAGATGAGCTGAGAGCTGCAAAAATAATGATAAGAAACAGAAGCAAGAAGAAGAGTTGTGTGGTTTGGCCTTTTCATGTTCGTTTACGGACAGAGTTTGCAGTGATAATTTGTATTACTTCAGCCTGTTGGCCGATGTGATGTATCGCAGCAGTCCAACAAAATAGAAAACAAAAGCAACGAGATCGATGATGAAGCCAAGTTTCAACCATGCAATCTTGTGTGCACAACAGGTTTAGCATTCATTACCCAATGCAGGTGACCACCATCAGAAGAATCCGACAAGCTATACAGATGTTGTTAGAACATGAACACAAATCAACGAGATTGTGTCAACGTTTACGGACGACAACAACGATTGAAATGAAAATAACGGGAGGAATTAAAGAAGGAAGAACTCGAAAGTGGATAAACAACAAACTATCCTGGGATGAGAATTCGCTCCGTCGAACTCAATTCCATGTACTGTGTCATTCCATATGCGGCCCGGCGACCCCTGCCTCCGGATCGACATTGCTGCAGCTTTGGCATTGTTTTATCGAGAGGACAGAGAGAGAGAGAGAGAGAGAGAGAGAGAGAGAGAGAGAGCCGCACTTTGAGAATCTTCCAACGACATGAACTACGAGGAAGGCTGACAAGTGGCAAAAAGTCCAAAGTCAAACAGACTATTATTATGGTCCTTACGATGCTCAACCCGTTGACTTAGTGCTCTGCTTTTGAGAATCTTCCATGTCATTGAACCTACTATTAAGATCTTTCCGATGCTCAACGTTTTGACTTAGCTCTCTTAACGCACTTTGAGAATCTTCCATGACATAAATGATTCGTCTCGAGAGAGAGAAACTATAATTTTCAACCACTTGCGATGAACAAAACATCTTTCATTATTTATTTATTTATTTTTGACAAGCTGATGTCCATGTGGCAAATATTACTATTTTTATTTGACTATTTAACCATTATATGAATGCATACTTTAAAGAAGAGACCCTAAGTATCCCTAGAAATAAATTATTTGGTATATAATATGAACAGTGTTGACTGTCACGAATCCAACATCATCCACATAATTAAAACAAGATACAATACATATCATGAAATTAAAATATAAAACAACGGTGACTTAGATAATGTTTCATGATCTAAAGCAGCAGTGCATACCAAATTTCATCATCAAATAGTCCGGCTAATTACATATTACCTCTTGTAGTTAGTTGTCTTTAGCATCCTGACCCCTACACTTAAAAAAGTTACGTCGATATCCCTATAATTACGTCGATATATCTTAACATCGTTGAAAACAAATGATAGAAAAATAATTTTAAGTTTCAGTTGATAGTGATGAATGACGTCAATGGTGGCGGATGATGGCGTCGCTAGGGGCTAGAGCTCTTACCGCCCCACTCATTGCTGAGGCAAATACCTAGCAACATTGCTCGGCAACTACATCGACAGCGTGACGAGCGATAGAAGCTCCGGACCCAGTGGCACCAACGTAGATTCTAAGCAGCGTCGCTTAGTAAGGGGAGCGGTAGGAGCTTCGACCCCTAGTGGTACCGATGTAGATATCAAGCAATGCCACTCGACAACTACGTTGGTAGCGAGGAGGAGCGATAAGAGCTCCAGCCCCTAGTAGCACCAATGCAGATATCGAGCACTACCGCTTGGCAACTACGTCGGTGCCAACGTAAATGCCAACCGACATTACTCAACAACTACGTCGACATCATGCAGTTATTGAGTGGCGTTGCTCGACATCTATGTCGGCATCACTTGATATATGCATCAGTATCGTTGGGGGTCAAAGCTTTTACCGCTACCTTAGCTGAACGACACTAATGTAGATGTCGAGTGGCGTCGCTCGACATCTACACCGGCAGCAAGTGGAGCTCCAACCCCTGGTGGCGGCATCATTCACCACCATCGATGTCATCCATTACCATCAATGAAACTAAGGTAAATTGACATTGCTCGATATATAATTGGCCCCAAATAGTCAATTGTAATTTCAGAAATAATGGCTAAGATTAATATTTGATATCCTCACAATCGTAAAGTCTATCCTCACAATCATCATATGTAGGTTTAGGATTAAAATGTTTTGCATTAGTATTTAATATAAGACTAATTCTTCTTTTATTATGTACTTATAATAATATCATCCTACTCAATAAGGTTGATTTAGAAACAATCAAATTACTAGCCAATATCAAGAATTTAAATTTCGATCAGATATCAGTTTTAATAAAAGGTCGGTACTTCGGCTCGTAATGTTCCTGGTATTATCGAGAGAAAAAAAAAGAAAATAAATATCGACTAGTATCAACTACCTTCGTCGGACCCGTAAATATCAATCGGTATAGACCGAGTAACCTGATATTTAATTTCTAGTTATCATAATTTTGCAAGGTAGAACGCAAGGCTCCAGCTGCATTTGGATTGTTTCATGGAATCAAAAGAAGAGCAACAGCTTCCAATCATGTGCAGGAATTTGATGCTTTTTGGAATTAGAAACTATATTGCAATGCAAAAGATGCTTAGGAACAAATGAAATATGTTTTTTTCCTGATACAGTGAAATTACCTGACTTCAGCAAATACCAAACTCCATCCTAGAAAATAATCATATGTACATATTAGTTGTGCCAAGAAATGATGCAGTCAATACTTGAAGATGGAAGTCAACCGCTTGCTCTCCATGCACATTTCATGTCAACTTGGAAGAGAGATTCCAGGTGATGTAGAACATACATGAAAGCATGCAGAAATCATCCACCCTCCACCTCCAAAATCATGCAAGAAGGGGTTCTACCAGATTGCTTGAACTGGTGGTATCTGGAAGTTTCATGGTGTATGTGATGACAGCAGAAAGAAATGCACAGGTTGCAGGAATCACTCCCAGACCATATCTGTTTACTGAATGACTGACATTACTGCCAAGGTTCCCCATGACATCAGGTGAACCTGAAGAGAAGATGTTATTGTCAGGTGGAGATCTAATTGACAAACCAAAAAAGATATTCTTCGGCCCTTTTTGTAGAAGTTTATGATATATTAGGCACAACCCCATGAATCTGAAATTGATTAGCTCACAGTTTTGAAAAGCTAAAATAATGCATCAGAAAAGCAAAATGAACGTTGAGATGTACTAAAGCATGGACAATCTTGATAAATCATTTGAAAGGAACAGCTGAGAGAGAAAGAGAGGAGCGAAAATTAAGGATTTAGTTCATCGAAGAGCATGAAACCCTACGGTTATCCAAGTGTCTTTCATTAGCTTTGAGTCCATGCTTTTAACCTAACAATTTGCTAATCTAAAAAAAGGAAGATCCAAAAGATATATGTACGGAAACATTTTATTAAAAAAAATCATATAAGTACATGACAGAGCACGAATATCCAAGCTTATAAATTAGCATAAAGGATGAAATCTTGAATTAGCATGAGTTGAGGTAAATGATTAAATACATTGATATGCATTTTATCTCCAAAATAAAAGAATGAAGCACTCAAGAGGACAGGTAGTAAAGACTTGCGAAAGGGAAGAGGAGATGAAGGTGGGGGAGGGGTGGGATACCTTGAGAAAAAACTTGAAATAACACCATTCAGAACATAATTCAAGGTTCAAGGGAGAAGCAGTAGTCTTAAACAAGTTAGTGTAACAGCAAAGAAAATCAAAAGAAGCTATTTCTGGCTGATTCCTGCATCAAACAAACATTTCTAACTTCTATCAACTTGTATCTCTATTCAGGTCCAATATGACAAATGACGGATAATGATAATATAAGCATAAATTAGTTTAGAAACATGGCATCTGTAACCAAGTTACTGTTTTACCTTGATATGACTCGAGAACATACAAAGCGAGGCCGCATGATAATTTATCAACAAAACTTAGTGATCCATACACGAAAGCACATCCGTTTAGGTTTTCTCCAACCAGCATGCTTTCCATGCTAATTCCAGTCACCTGCATCGGAAAAAAAGAGAAAATGAGAGACCAAAGAGAACCACCTCGAGGATATATCCGACTCCTAGAAGAATCACATTTTAGATTTGCTCTATCAATGCTACCATCAAAAAGGGCATTCATGGATCTATACAGTGGATGTAACTCCTGTTACTCGAATTATATAAGGTGTCAGGCAGAGTGCAAATTAGTCTGAGTACAAAATGTTTTCTTAAATTTGTTATAATTTCTGAAGTAAATTAAAAGAGTTTGTTCTGTGTATATGTCAATGAATAAGAATGACTCATTTTGCAAGTTTCATGGATCTCACGAGACACTGTAACATGCAGGTGCTTTATGTTGAGTGAAATGACCAAGCTAAATCCGCAATCGCATTTTAACTTCAACATCAATTGATTAGTCACTTCTGTCACTGATGGACAGTCAGGAACATGATCTATCAGCTGCCACGATACATTACAAAAACAAACTCTAAGACCATGTCCTACCAATGAATTAATAAATATAAGCAACAAAGTGTCACAAAATGTTCTAACGGATCACACGACAAAATAGGGCTATAGGATAATTAAGAAAGATTGGCTACATAAACTGCTCAAGTTTATTTTGACTCAAAAGTCCAATGTGCCTCAAACTTCATAAGTTCATGGCAGGCAATTTTGAAGTTCCTATGTTATGTGAGACAATTAGCATACCGTCATCAAAGCATTAGCAGCACCAATTGCTATTGAGAGAATGTACATAAGATTGTGCATGCTGTCTGGAAGAACAGATACTCCTGCACCAGAAAACATCCAAAGAATGGCTCCAGCATTAAAGAAGGCCTTAAGGCGCCACCCAGACCATCTAATCTCCTGCATTAGTTAGAAGTTTGGAATCAAGAAATGTTGTTACAGGCAAAGTATTTCAACCATAAAATGGCCAAGTGAGACCTGCAGAATAACAGACACCAGGAAGCTGCAAATATATATAATGGCAGGCACCTGAAATGGAAAGAAAAATGAGCAGTTAGACTCAACCAATCCACCAAACACTCTTAAAATGGAAACTTCTTTTGTTAGAAATGCATGAAGGGCATTAGTCACTGCACCACTTTGGAGTATTATCAACATACTCTCAAACAAGCTTAATTCTTGTGGGGAATGCTTCGCAACAGTAAATTCAACAATATAAGTTGTCTCCTGTGCATTTTGAAATGACTAAAGTGGAGATCAAAACCTCGAACCTTAACTATTAATTCTTAGGAAACTGAATAACCAACAACATGGTACTAGATCTATTTGCTGAATAATTAACTTAGTAATAGAGGTTGTTTCTGGATATCACTAATTTTACTAGTTCGCTAGCTATGCGACATTCATAATTATATAAAAATACTGATGCACATGTGCTGTACACAGTTGATTTAAGTAATTGTCAATAAATTTTGTAATTCTTACCAAAGCCTTTGACGATTGGCCCATGCCCAATTCATTAGTGACAAAAAAAGCAAGCAGTGCCTGGCAAAAACAAGCAACATTGTTAAAAGAAAAAAGGCCATAGCTAAACTCTTTTCCACCAACTTCAAACATAGAGGTACCCAATTTATTTAATTTCACATGTATTCACGACACTTGAAGTTATAATCATTATCTGCTATGTACAATAAAAAACTGATGGATATAAAACAAAGAAGTAAAAAAGATCTTAACAAAAACTGTAATTCATTTATGGAACAATCAGACAAATGACAGGCACATAGTGGCTTAGCAATATATTATTCTCTATATATATGAGGTTTCATTAAAATTTATAAATCAAGCCAAAAACAATTTGATATAATCTACAACAATCATAAATTAGAACAAATTATAGGATATCAAATTTTTTTACATAAAGGGGCCATATGTAATCCGTGTATCAAATGCAGCTCTTTTCTAAACTTTTTTCAGCCGCTTTCTAGTAAATTTCACAGTTAGTCAGAATCAAGTACATAATAGTTCACATTCACTTTTAAGCAGTCAACATTATAAAATGAAATATGTTGACCTGTGAAACATTTGTCACCAGCCGGGTAAGTGTATAAACAAGAGCAACTTGATAGTAGAGTATTTTTTTGAACCAGTGGGTCCATGAGATACTGGAAACGTTTTTACACTGAATTTGCAGCTTCAACCTACATGATAAAAACAAGCACATGTTTTAAGATGGAAAAACAGCAAATTGTCTAGTAGATTGATTTACAAAAGAAACACAGAGTAAAATGCACTAAACAATCAGCTTACTGCGGTTCTTTGGTACCAACAAGGAACAGGACCACAAAGCAGCACCCCATGAAAATGGACAGGTAAGCAATCCAGCGGTACTGATCAATCAAGAGAAGAAATAAGATAAAACAGAGAAACAAGAATGTTCTTTTGGACCATGTATTGTAAAGTGTAAACTACCTGAATCTTGATATCCACAGTGTCCTTGGAACTATAAAGACTGAACACACATAAAGCAACTGCATAGAGACTAAGATTGGCTACCTTCAATAACAAAAAGATTAACAATGACTAAAAATTAGTAATTCACTGATATCTGGAATCATATTATTAGGCATGGAGGTTCGACAAAACATGTATTAGAGAAAGGATATGACCATTGTGAAGGCATTACGACAACTTGCAAGTGCGACTCTGCTTGTTGGATTAAGAGTGATGCAATTCACCATTGACCTTAAACAAAAAAGAGAAAATCTTCCTTAGATAAAGACTCAGATATTTAGCTACACAGGAAACCAAAGGAATTTTTCTAAGTGGAGCATTACATGTGAGAAACTTGGGTAACAGCCCAACCCACATTAAAAATTGCAGCAAATGCGCTGTAGCCAATAGTTTGCAACGTAAGTGAGTTGCTGCCCATGACTTTACAAGGAAGGCAGCTACCAAAAACAGATGAAAAAGAGACAGCAACCAGAAAAGACCCTCCAGCATGCCATAGTTTGAAGTGCCCAAACCGATCTATCTGAAATACAGAATACACTCCTCAGAAAAGAACATCACAATGTATAATCCATTAAAATTTAGCACACTGAGATATTTTGGTATGTCAGAAGAAGCAACCTTTATAGAATTCTCTTATACAATTGATCTTCTAAGTTTTAAACAATATTCACTCTTGGCTAAAGAACACTTGCTCCAGATTTGGGATCACAATAAACGTCACCATGAACAAGTAAAAAGAAAATCAAAATTGATAATTTCCCCCTCATTAAAATTCAATTCCATGCATAAGTCCAACACTACATAGATAATGTCAT